GGGTAGGGGGGTTGGGGGGGGGTGTTGCACCAAACAGTCTCCTGGTCGATATAACTTAGGGATGTTCCCCTTATAAAATACAACACACACACACACACACACACACACACACACACACACACACACAATGTGATTAAAATAAAATGCATTTCGCCCTAACCGGTTTGACTCAGTGGATAGAGTGTCAGCATTCGGACTAAAGGGTCCCGGGTTCAATTTCGGTCAAGGGCATGTACCTTGGTTGCGGGCACATCCCCAGTAGGAGGTATGCAGGAGGCAGCTGATCAATGTTTCTCTCTCATTGATGTTTCTAACTCTCTATCCCTCTCCTTTCCTCTCTGTAAAAAATCAATAAAATATATTTTAAAATAAAATAAAATAAAATGCATTTCATATAAATATCTCCATCAAGGAGTCATACATGGAAGGCCTAAACAGCCTCACGAGCTGACTAGGGTTTGCTTTTTTAAATACAAGGGCATAAATAACTGTACATGGGGAGAAGGGCCAGGCTAAACACAGAGTGGCCCATCGTCGCCTCCTGGTGGTCCCTCCTAGAGGTGCAATCAGAAGAAGGATCCATCCTCACCCACTGGCCAGGCCTGACATTGCAGACCTACTCTCCAAGGGACCAGGGACAACCCAGTTCCCCATGAGCCAGGGAAGGGTGGGCTCAAAGGAGACAAGAGGTTCCACTCAGTGCAGGCTGGTACTTGGTAGCAAGTCAAGTAAAGGGGTAGGACATGGGGAAATAAGACGGGAGACTTGGGGATATAATTTCCCACCATCTCCCCAGACCCTGTGATGTCAGATAATGGAGAGTTGGCTCCATCCTGCAATTCTCGGCAGCACCTTTAACTTCTCCTGTGGGCTGTTGGAGCTCTGGGATCGCTAGGCTGTCCCGCTGCCCCATCCTTTTTCATCTTGTAGGGAAACACAGCACTGAAGATGTCTTCATGATAGCGCTTCTGGCTCTTTAAGGGACATCTCCAAGGATCACCGGGTCAGCCCTGCTGGTCCAGCCACCTCTCGTTCATCAGGTCCAGGCTAGAATGAGCTCCTGGGGTTCTCCAGCTTCCCCATCACTCCTACACTCATGAGCCGTTTCTCTTCCCAATTGTCATGCTTGGATCATGCTTGGATCATGCTTGAACCTCACTTAGAATCTTTAACCCCGCCTCTGCCCGCTCAGGTGGGGACCTCCTAAACATCTTTCCAGGCTTTATGGTGGACAGAACAGCTGGCCTAGTGCTCTTCCCACAGGAAGCTCCCGGAAATGTGAGCTGTGATATATACACGTGTGGTGAATGCTACATACTTTCTCCACGTTTAGAAGCAGCATCACTCTGCACAGGAGCATATTAGAGGCTCTGAACGTCTTATGGTAAATCAGCGTGTCAGCCTTTGTTTACTGAGCAACCAGACCCGGCTGCACAGTCAGGTCTCTGACAGCCCCTCCAGCTCTGGCCTCCACCACCTCTAGGATTCCTTAGACGTTCATGACTGTGCTGAGCCTGCTCCCCTGGTCCTGGTTCCCTGGTCCAGGCCCCTGACCTGCATCCCTGGCCTGCACCCTGGCTGCCATACCTTCAGCTGGAAGAAATAGTCCTCAACCTGCTCCTCACTCAGGCTCAGCCTGGCAGCCACCAGCTGCTTCAGTGTGTGGGCCACATCCCGGGCCATGCGCACGTCCCCACAGACATAGAGGTGGCCTTGCTCCTGGTGGAGCACGTGGAACACCTGGTCGGCCAGCTGCTGCTGAAGGATGTCTTGAACGTAGACCTGAAAGCAGAGGAGATGGTGAGCCCAGGCCCCGGCTGCTGGGTGGAGAGGGCAGCCAAGTGTGCAGTCAGGCCTGCTGGCCATCGGGAGGCGGCGAGGGGGTGCCATGGGCTGCAGGCTGAGCATCCTCCCAGGCAGGACGTTGCACAGGGACCAAGCTCAGCATGAGTAGGTGCACTGGCACCCTGCCCAGCCCAGGGTTGGGCTGGGCCTGGAGAGATGAATGATGGCCACAGCCCTGCCCTTGACGAATGAGTGGTCCAGTGGGGTCCTCATGAACTCTGCACTCACCATGCTTCAAAGAGGCATCAATCAAGCCACTTGCCTTGCCCAGAGCTCTGAGGCCCACCTGCCTACACCCCAGAAAAGGGATCATCTCAGTCAGACTGTCTGTGGGCTCTCCACTGTAATGCAGAGCATGGCACACAGCCCTGGCTCCCCAGTGACATAGAAGTTCGGAGGTCAATCCAGGCTGCCAGTGATGGGGCCTGGAGCACTGGCTCTGGGAAGATCCCTCATAGGACAAGTTCATTAGGGAGGAGCCAAGAGTCTGTCCCAACTCCCCAGGCTCAAGGGGTCATGGTGGGCGCAGTGGCCATCCTCCAGCCTGGCTGTGGTTGTGCAAGAGCCGGCCTGAACCACCTCTTCTCAGGTAGTTGTGTATCTGGGAGAGGACCGCTAGCTGGCTGTGCCCCAGGGATTAAGCCACCATGTGGCCCTGACTTCGTCCTGAAGGTCTCAGGGCCTGTCTCTTCTCCTGGAAGGGTGAATGGAAGAGCTTCCCAGCATCGCTCTGACAGTAACTGCCTACATTTTAGAGCTGAGGAGATGAAGGCTCAGAGATGTGAGGGGCGTGTGTGTGGGGAGCCAGGACACCCACCATAGTCTGTGCTTTTAATGCTCCTCCCACTGCACGGGCAGTTGCCCCATTACCTTGGGCTGACCAAGCAGGCGAGAATAGGCTGTGTGCACCTCATGCAGCACCCCCTTCCGGGCCATCTCCAACATCTCCTCCCAATAGAAGTGGGCCTCATCCGGGTCATGTGGCCTCTCTGGAGCCTTGCAAGACCCAGCAGGCTGCAGTGACAAGGGTGGCCACCAGAGGGCGGGCTTCAAGGCCTGACAAGCTGGCCACCCAACTTGAATTCTCATTTCATTGCTGCAAGTGTCCTATCTAGTACTTTGCTCACCTCCCAGATGAGGAAGCTGACTCATGTTTTCTCCTTCAACACTTTGAAGTACCAGGTGCTGTCCATGGTGCTAAGACTACCTGCCTGGAGAGACAATGTTTCCTGTCCTGGAAGGATTCAGGCCAGTGAGTCGCATTGATCTAACTTGTCAGCAACTTTAGGGCAGGAGACAAATCTTTATTATAATCTCACTTGGAATCATACAAACCTGGTTTCAAATCTTGACTGGATGCTATGACTGGGTGTTTGTTTTAGAGTTGTGGGATCTTGTCCCCATACATAATCTCTGTAAAACGAGAATAGCATCATGTTGTGAGAATTAAGTGAGAAAATGTGAGCCAAGTGAGTGAGGCACAGCCACAGGTAATGGCAGTGGAGGTGTCTGGAATCATGATAACTAGCAATAATGATGATGTAATAATGACATCCAGTGCCTTTCACAAAGACTTGGACCTAGAAAGATGCAGGTGAGTTAATGCATTCTCTTATTAATTTATTAATTCAACCACCCATCTGTCACTATGCCCATTTATCCATCCATCCATACCATCTATCCCTCCCCCCAACACTTGCTAAGGCCCAGGCTTGTCCCAGGTTTTCAAAATACAAAGACAAGACACAGTGGCGCTCTTTTTCTAGCTAATTTCTGAGGACGCACACTTTGGTTGCATCCTGCAGACACTCAGAAAGACCCAGTTTACTCAACACAACTGTGCCTAGAAATGGGATGGGACAGGAAGCCTGACTTCCCACCTGACTTTGGCAAGTCTCTCTTTGGACAGCTGGGTGGATCCCACTTGGAGGTGAAAGGCCAGCTCTGAGCTCTGGCTTCCCCCAACTCCAGGCCCTGCCACTGCCCCACCCAGCAGCCCCCAACTTCACCTGGCACAGGGTCTCTAGCCTCTGCTTCACCACCCTCCAAAGAGCATCCATGGTGACTCAATCCTATAAACTAACTATGCACCAGAGTCCAGTCCCTCTCACCCAGGCCTGATACCCACAGGTGGATTACAGGCTCACAGTGACTAAGTCCACAAAGACTGATGTACGCCCAGAGGCCACTTATTCATTTAGAGAAAAGCCCATGACTGCACTCCCCTGGGGTCCTATACTGGGAGGTGCTAGGAGAGCCGCCAATCACCCTGAGTGAGGTGCTGAGTCTCACAGAGTCCCCGGGGACCGGTAGATGTGGGTTCAAACTCTGGCTCCCCATTTCCTAGCTGGGTGACTGAACTCTCTTAGCCTGTCTCTGTGACATGGACGTGATAAGACTGTTAGGGTCACCGAAGGAGGAACGCACGAGGCCAAAGGGGTAAAGAATTATGAATTTATCAGGTCATCTGGATACCAGATGGGCTGAGCCCCAAAATGCCACCAGCACCCAGTGATGGGAGTCAGCGGTTTTTAAAGGACTTTTGGCGGGCTTTTTCTGGGCGGAGAATTCTCTGTGCAGGTCCGGATTCTGGGAAGCCCGGAGGGAGAGATAATGGTCTTGGCAAGTGGAATGTAGTCTAGGCCAGTGGGATGTCCATTGTGAAGTGGCCTAAAGGTCGTTTCCCAGGCAAGGGGTATCGGTTCAATTGTTTGATCCGACCTAACGAAGACAACTTGTCTTGCTGGGTTTGTATGAGGAGGGCAGTGCAAGGTACAAGTGGGGGCTGTGTCAAATGCCTGCCCGGACATGGTGCAAAACTATGTCTTGTCTCCTACAGGAATGTCTGTGGTTTTAACTACAAATATTTTTGTTAGACTTTAACTGTCTGCCAGGAAAAGGGGGAGAGCTATGCCTTTGTCTTTTCCAGGAAGGGAGGCCTGAGTGGATTTGAGCACAAAATAAAGGGTTATAAAAAAAAGAAATGGAGTTAATATCTAAACTATAGCTTTGATAGGAAAAACTTCCTAATTCTTACATCTCTGTCCCCTCATCCCCGAGTGTCAGGCTCGCCCACATTCTCCAGGACGTTGGGGTCCAATGCCAGACTTTGCTCCTCTGACCCCGGCTTTCTGACTTTGGCCCCTCTCTTTAGGGGGACACATTCCTGACGGTGTCATTATCACTGAGGAAGCTAAGGCCAGGGAACTAGTCCTACGGCTGGGAGGCCCGAGATGGTAGATTTCACTCGTTTACCTCTCCTCCTGCCTGTCACCCTGTGCTGTGCTCTCCACATGGACGGAGAGCCTCCCCTTAGCACAGGCAGGGGCTGCCCTGGGGCCTCCCAGGGGCAGTGTCCTCTCCTGGTAAGGACTTTCTGGAGCCAATAGAACCCCTTGGAAAACTCAGCCTGGTACCTTGCTTACAGAGTTCCCAACAGCCATGCCAGGTGAGTAAGGAAGGCGCAGGAACCTCGATATATTTGGGGACCTTTGAGAAGAGAGGAATTCACCCAAATCTATAGGTATCTCAGGTGAGGTCTGATGGCATGTCGTTGGTTTGGCTTCCTGGCCTCAAGAATCTTCTGAACAGCCCAATCTGAGATTCAGCAGAGATTCAGCAGATGAGGAACATAAATAGTTAAAGGAGAGCCCATAACCATCTCTTCTGTCTGTTCACATAACATGGCTGTAGCAGAGATCGACCTCATACAGCCTGAGAGGGAGGGAGCCCTTTTGCCACTGAGTCTAGTTGCTGCCTATAATGCCCTATAGGTCTGTGGTGATCTCCATGTTTCTGGATCAGAACTCCTGAAGCATTTCCATTACTTTCATACGTGAAAAGGAAGAAAGGAAGTGTATAGCCCAGATGCCCCAGAGCAGGAGCTTCAGACAGTACTTCCTTGAGAGCCTCTACAGCTTGTTTCCCTGCAGGGCTCCATTGGATTGGAGAGGGTTGGTCTGACTTGAATAGGGCGTATAGAGGCTGGGCTATCAATGAAAAGTGTGGAACCCAATTTCTACAATATCCAGTCAACCCCAGGAATCCTCCAAGCTGCTTTTTTGTTTTTGGAAGAGGGAAAGATAGGGTTCCTCTAAGTCTTTCAGGGTTAATCAGTAGCCCATCATTAGATATGAGATGGCCAAAGCATTTTACTTGAGGTAAGCAAATGGAACCTTATCGTTCAAGACCTTATGTCCTTTTATAGCTAGCTGCTGCAGTAGGTACATTGTGTTCTTTTGAGGGTCTAGAAATGTCCTAGAACATGAGTCATCTACATACTAGATTAGAGTGGAAACTCTAGGAAATTTAAATCAGCTTTTAATATCTGGAAGAAATAGGTGGGACTTTCTGTATATCCCTGGGGCATTACAGTCCAAATAAACTGTTGATCTTCCCAGGTGAGGTGCCAGCCTAAGACATGACATCCCACCATAAACTGATTTTTAACGTAAAAATGTTAACTTCAGACCGTTCTTTGTGGTTACTTTAGGTCTCTGAGTTTGCTAAGCTGCCATGCAGGCCCCTCCTTGAGCTAGTCAGGTTAGCATGTGGTCCCTTTTGATTCACACTCTCAATATTTGAAATTCAATAGAATCTGTATCTAGATGGTTATTATTATTATTTTTGTTAATCCTCAACTGAGGATATTTTTCCATTGATTTTTAGAGAGACTGGAAGGGAAGGGGAGAGACAGAGAGAGAGAAACATTGATGTGAGAGAGAAACATTGATTGGTTGCCTCCCACATGTGTGCCAACCAGGCCAGGCATCAAGCCAGCAACTGATGTATGTGCCCATGACCAGAATTAAACCCGGGACCTCAGTCCCAGGGCTGATGCTCTATCTGCTGAGCCAAACTGGCTAGAGCTAGATGGTTTTTAATGTATTCTTTGAAAATTGTTTCATGTCAAATAAATGTTAATGAATTACAAAAATTTTTTCTTTTTTTTTTTAAGGAGTAATTCCATTCTATGTCTATACATTTTGTTATTCCATTCATCTATCAATGGACACTTGGGTTGCTTTATCTCTTGGCTATTATGAATAAAGCTACTGCAAACATGGGTGTACAAATCTCTCTTCAAGTCCCTGCTTTCAATTCTTTAGAGTATATATCCAGAAGCGGAATTGCTGGATCGTAGGGTAATTCTATGTTTAGTTTTTGAAGGAACTGCCATGCTTTTTTGTTGGATAGTCTCAAGCTAATGGCTAGAAAGGCCTGGGGCACTCACCTGGCCCCATCCTACCTGCACTGAGCCCCCCAGACTGTTCCCTAATCAGAGCCAATGTGGTGACAAAACCGCCCTTGTGGTTCTTATTGTGATTGCAAGATGCACCTCAGCAGCCATCATCAGGGCACCTTGAAGGCACAGGTTTATTACTGACAATTCCTGGAGGCCACACAGCAAGGTTGAGAGAGAGAGAGATTGAAATCAGGGACTAGGGTTCTGCCTTTATTAGGGTCCAAGGCAGGCTGGTTAGGTGGGAATTAGGGTGCAGGAAGGTAAAAGCGGGGTCATTCATAAGGTCAGTTACCTAGGGTACCCAAAGCTTTCTACCAGGGGAACTTAATGGGTGGGGGGAGTCTGGGTGCTTGTCAAACTGTTTAGCTAGGAGCTGTGACATGGCTGGCAACATGTTTACAGGACATGGATTATCTTTGAAAACCAGAAAAGCTAACACCAGGCACTTACACTGCATTGTGCATAGCAGCCCCTCCCCATTTCACACGCCCCCTAACAGTGCACGAGCACTGCTGCTATGCGTCCTCTCCAACACTTGTCATTTTCTGCTCTTTTTATAGTGGCCACCTAATGCGTGTGAAGTGGCAGACTCACATTCCGAAGAGCTCTCCAGGTCTACAGAGCAGAGAACAAAGACAGAGCCTTGAACAGTGTCTGGATTTTGGATAACAGAGCTCTGAGAAGGAACTTTGCCTGGGGCCGCCCCTTGCCTCCTTAAGACTGGAGCTGGGTGCTGGGAAATGGGTCCTGGGGACAGTAAGGTAACCAGGTGGAGCTGCTGAGGTCAACCATGCCCTGGCACTTCCTGTGGAGGCTGCCTCCCTCCTGTCTTACTGAGGCTGACAATGCCCACCCCCCCTACCCCCCCCCCCCCCTACATAGGGGAAGCAGAGGGCCTGGAGCTCTCCTTTTTGGGTTGGACTCACTGTGACTCACCTCCAAAGCTCCAGGTGGGGCCTATGTGATTGTTAGAATCTAGGTGTCCCTGAGTCTCCCTGGGACACTCTGGGCTCCGGGAGCTTGGGGGTTTCCCCCAGTGCTTTATAGAGATCGCGTTTACGCAGAGTAACATGCACAGATAATAGTTTGCTGGATGAGTTTTTACACAGGTGAAAGGTGAAACAGCTGTGTGACCATCTACCAGATCAAGTTCCAGAACACTTCTGTGGGGACAGAAAAAGGCCCCTCTCTTTCTTTGCTGTGGCCTTCCACATCTATGAGAAACACCTGGTAAATAAACCCCAAGATTGTTGGCTCCTCTGTTCAACCTGCAGGACAAGGTAAGCTACTCTCAAGCTACATTCTTGCATCCTCCTCCTACCTGCTGTTTCCACAATTCAGGGATAATTCACAAGGAGTCTCTAGTTAGTAGAAAGTTCCCAACCTTCCTCCCCTTTCAGAGAAGCCTCTTTTGAACTCTATAACATTTGCTCTAAGCCTGATAAGTCATCTCCTTGGGACATCTGATGGACTGTCTCCTGGAAAGCAAACAAACTGTGACTTTTTTAAGACCACCCCCCTGGTATCTGCTCAACTTCAACACAATCTCCCCCCCCCCCCCGCAACCCCCCCCTTGTTGCTTAGCAACTGCAATTGCTTGCCCTTTAAAAGCAGAAGCCACTCTTTGTTCCCTGCCCTGTATTGACTAGCAATAGCTGGCCCTCCCTCTCCTCCCTTGGAAAGTGAAATAAATGTCCTCACTGCATCTGTTCCCTTAGTTGTGAATTCTTTCTCAGCCCGAATCATCAGCCAAACCTAACAATTTTCAGCTCCCAGAAGACTCCCTCATTCCCTTCCAGGTTCATTGTCCAATCTGAGGTCACCGAGGTTTCCCGTGTCACAGCTCCTTTTGGTTGCTGGGGCCCTTCCATGGTATGAGCACCATCATTTGTTCCTTCTTTCTCCTGCTGGTGCGCACTTGTGTGGTTTCCTGTTTGGAGCTATGGGAGTGAGGCTGTTGTGAATGTCTGTGTTCATCTCTCTCTTTTTTTTTTTTTTAATATATTTTATTGATTTTTTACAGAGAGAAAGGGAGAGGGATAGAGAGTTAGAAACATCGATGAGAGAGAAACATCGACCAGCTGCCTCCTGCACATCTCCTACTGGGGATGTGCCCGCAACCAACGTACATGCCACCAACGTACATGCCCTTGACCGGAATCGAACCCGGGACCTTTCAGTCCGCAGGCCGACGCTCTATCCACTGAGCCAAACCGGTTTCGGCGGTGTGTTCATCTCTCTTGAGTTGTTCTCCAAAGTTGTGTTATTTCACACTCCAATCTGCAAGGAATGAGAGTTCCACTGTTATGGGTTAGCTCAGCGAGATAGACCACAGACTCAGAATTTAAATTTTAAGAGCCTTTATTAAGCTGGCCAGTCGACTACCAGCTGTGTCCCTCTCGTAAGAGTTCCACAGCTTGCAGTGCCGTCCGAGAGTACAGCAAGACCTTTTATCTGCAAAGACTTCAAAGTATTTTTTGAAAAAGAAAAAACAAACTGCAAAGCGGTTCATTAGCCGTTCCTGGTATTGGCAGGGTAAAAAGTTTACATAAAATTTACGAGCAGGGTCACACCTGGCTGGGTTCAATCATAACATATTGCTTTTCTAGCGAGATAATTAGCAATTTTTCTTTCCCATGGTCCCTGCCCTTGACACAATCGGTAACTTTTTCCAAGGCTGCAGTCCCTCCCCCCAACACATTCAGTAAGTTTCTCATGTTTTATTTCCTCCCCCTAGCACACCACTTGGGTCCATGTCCCCATCAGTGATGACATCGACCCTGATGTCCCTGCTGCTGGAGAGGATAGCAAAGAATTGTGCTTCTGTTCCCTCCTTTCTGTTCCAGCTGTGCTGTCTGCACCTTCAACTGGTTAAATTCTAGTTGACTCAGGGATACAATGGGGATGGAGGGTGGGCCAATGGGACAGGTGACCTCAGTTTACAGGAGCATCTGAAAGAAGTCAGTCTTTGCAAATTCTAGTGCATGTAGACAAGGCTCAAGAGGGAACAGAGGTACAGATCTATGTGTGACCTTGGGCACCTTCCACCAACGTGGCAGCTATCTGACCTTTAACTGTTCATTGAGGCTTGTCTGCTTGCTCATTGGTTTTCTCTCTAGCACATTGCAGGGACCTGCTTGACTTCAGGTAAGTTCATTGTCCCCTCAGCTCTACTTTCCAATCTACTCTTTGGACCCAGCCTATCTTGCTAGTCTGTCTTTAATCATTTCCCTTAATTCGGTGCTGAAGCCAGTTAAAGGCAGTTCATTTAATGTTACCCTGACCTTCATGTCATTTGGAATAGACTTCCCTGCTCTGTTTTTTGTTTTTTTTAATCCTCACACGAGGATTTTTTTCATTGATTTTCAGACAGAGTGAAAGGGAAGGAGGGGCTGTAAAAGAGAGAGAATTCAATTGGTTGCCTCCAGCACACACCCTAAATGGGGCTAGGGATTGAACCTGCACTGAAGGTACCTGCCCTTGACTGGGAATGGAACCTGTGACCCTTGGCTCCATGAGCTGACGCTCTAATCACTGAGAAAAACCCGGCCAGGGCTCCTCTCCATGTTCTAAAGCACAGAAAGAAAAGGGAGAAAGGAGGAGAGAGGGAAGAGAGAAGAAAGATGTAAATTCACGGAGAGGGAACTCAGAAGCTCCCTGGGTACCACTATAATGGATATCATAACATCCATTATGAGGTTCTCTATTTGTAAAACACCTTTTTCTACATGGTGATGTATTTATAAGAGGAATAGAATTTTAAAGGAGAGAAATATCTTTTTGTGAATCTCAATGTCCTCATTGAGGTCAGGCTGCCACTAGTGAGCCCTGTGACCTTGGTCAGGTCTCTGAGCCTCAGTTTCTCTGTGTGGAAAGTGAGTATAACCTGGGCCTTCCAGCACCACCTTCACCCCTCCCTGTGGCCCTGTCAAGTAACCCATTGTTTTCTGGACATTGTGACTGAGCATGCTCAGGA